TTGTAAAACATTAAATTATTATCAATTTGAATATTATTTTATAATTATTTTTTCTATTTTTAAGAATTTTTTAAATTGATTACATAATTTCGTTATTTTAACTATTTAAAATCTAGTTATGTTAAACATTTAGTTACTTAAATATTTAAATTGTTTTGCTATTTGAATTTATTTTTTTTAAGTTATTGCATAATATTAAATATTTTGTTATATAAGTACTTAGCTATTTTTAATATTTTGTTATTTAAGATACTTAGTTATTGATATATTTAAATATTTTTTCTTTTTTTAATGTTAAATATTTATTATTTGAATAGCATTTAAATTGAATCATTCGGAAAATCATAATTTATATTGATAGTACATAATGTTGCGATGAATTTTGTAAAAATATAAAGGTATTAATAATATGAATATTATTAAATCTATTGTAATTATTTTTATGTTGTCAATAATATTTTAAAGTTATTATATAATTTTGTTAGAATGTTTAAATAATTCTTAATTTTTTTTAATTCAAACTTTGTTTAGATAGATATAGATAAAAAGTGGGGGAGAGGATAAATAGGAATTAGAGATAATTTAGGAAAAAGTGGAAGATAGTGGGGAAGGTAGTTTATGAGAAATTTTAGGAGATGAGATTATTTAGGTTCTTTGGAACATGTGTGTAAGTGTGTATGTGTGTGTGTGTGTGTGTGTGTGTGTGTGTGTGTGTGTGTGTGAGAGAGAGAGAGAGAGAGAGAGAGATTATAGTTATTTTTTTATGGAGAATGAGAGCATCTCGTTGGTTTTTTCAAAAATGACATGGAATAAAAAAGTAAAAAATAGAAAATTCCTAGACTTCCTTCTTTTATTATATATCATGCCCCTGCAAACAAGGGCCGATGAATGGACTATTTACCAAAACAACAAACGAGAAAAGCAAAGTTCGTTCTTAGTTGCAAATTTTGAAACAACATATAAAATTTTCAAAAAATATATACAAATCAAGTTGATGCCAAAAATAATATCTATATAATTTAACGTTAGTAGAAAGCAAAACCATTTTGAAAAACATATTACCTAATTACTTCAGGGATATATAGAATCACCAGAGAAATATCCTACAAACAAATCAATGTAAAATAGATGATCCAAAATAAAATAAAAATGCCAATATCTCTGTTATAGCCTATTTTGAGCTAGGAAACATTTTTCTTAAAAAGCTTTTAATTAAATCCCATTAAATACCTACTTCTGCCTCCCCCCCTTCTATCCCTCCCAAGCCCTCCCCTCCAAGGTATATACTTGTAAAATATATGCTAAGTTATTTAGTTTCACTTAATGTATTTTTTAAAAGAATATTAATTACATTAAAGTTATTAATTGTAGTTGTAATTTGTAAAATTATTAATTTTAAATTATTAAGTAATTAAAGTAATTTAAATATATAACTAGATTATTTTTGTTAGTAATTTATTTAATCTACATATTTAATCAATTAAGTTAACATAAATTAACTTGCTTAATTTTGATTTGTAAATATTACAAGTGAAACCATATCGCCTCTCTCTCTCTCTCTGAAACGTCAATCGGCCATAGGAGTTTAATTCAACCCCATGTCTCACTGAATGTTTAATGCAAGCCCTTTCTCTCTATTTTGGGTGAATATTTAATGTTGAAGAGAAAATCTATAATATATTTTTCTTGACTGCCATGCGCCCTAAAAGCTCTAGATGGGAGGAAGCCTTTGGGAATTGGGAGAAAGAGAGCATGTTAAATGAAAACTTCTCAGCATGGTATTACACATTGGGCACGAAAGCTTTTCGAGTATCCCACCAATTAAAGGAACTTAAAAGAAAACCTCTTTGGTAATTACACATTGGGCACAAGTGCTTTTCGGGTAACCCATCGGTTAAAGCAAAACCTCTCAATCTCTCGTTCTCTCAGCATGGTATTACATATTGGGCAAAGTAGGGGTGTAAACGGATCAAGTTCAAATCAGATCAAGAATATCTGAATTCGATTAATTAATTATTTTAGATAATTAATAAATATATAAAATAAATATTTTATTGAATTGATATAAAGTATATAATACATAAATTATTTATATAACTTAATATATAAATTATATAAAATATTTTATATATTATATAAGAATTAAATAATCGATCGAATTCAGATATTTATCGAATCAAATCTGGTCATATTCGAATTCGAATCCAATTAACTATTCGATATGAATAGGATATCCAAATTCGATCGATTAGATATTCGAATTATCTAAATTCGATTCGATTATGTCGAATATAGAATTTGAAATCAGATTTTTGAATACCATTTACACCCCTAGGCACAAGAGCTTTTCGGGTATCTATTAGCTAAAAAATTGGATTATACGTGAAAAAGCACAACTCGTCTTATGAATGAAAAGAGTTCATTCTATGAGGGGAGAAGCACCATCCATATGGCCTTTTGTTTATTGATTAAATTAAGAAATTTAATATGTAAATTATATAATTCAGAACTTATATATTATTATATAGCAGAAACTTGTCTTAGACTCTTGGTTTTGGTGCAGTCGTAAACATTAAATTTGATTATATAATATCAATTTTATCTTTACCCTTGTTTGCATACATGCACATATACTCTTACATTAATCATTATAATTTAAGTTTTGTAAAAAATTACTGTTTACATTACTTATTATATACATTCAAACATTAAATAGAAGAAAAAATGATCAAAATGAGGCCATTGTTTTAAATATGACAAGTTTGATTCTAAGGACAGCTCCACTAAGACCAACCAAGACCAGAGGTCAATTCAACTGGTATAAACCCCCTCTAGACCTTGGAATCAACCTGGATGGAGATTGGTCTCAAGAACTTAGAAAGCATACCCTAACCAATAACAACCTACCAATTTGCTCACCCACGGGAGTCCGGCTACATAAATCCTATTATTCCATTCTTTTCATTCTTGTTGAGTGTCATTTCCAATTTTAAATTATTGGAGTGTAAGTCATTTCTTATTATTTCCATCCAAAATCCATTTGGGCTTTTTAATAACTCGTCTAGCTCCTTCAATTGTAACAACAGATTATAAAGCAATACAATTGTCTTAAATTGTTTAATTTAAATTAATCGGATTATATTATATTGTGAGTGGAAAAATTATACTGTCGGAAAGAAACGATACTGAAAGTGCTTTGACCAATCAACCCCCCCAGAAACCACCTGATTGGTTAACACTTTTATGATACTGATCGATTAGTTACCAGTTTTTAAGGTTTACTAACCTCTCTAATCAGTGAACTCCCACCGACCAAGATTTGTCTAGGCAAGTAGGATTCCAAGTATTCAAATTTGAATCGTAATAATTCTCTAGTTTTGTATGTTGTCAAACAATTAGAGAATTCAGGGGCGTCATTGGATTATGTGATTTGACATCTCATATTAGTTAAATTTCTCAGGCAAAAGATTCTTATTCATAGTTGTGATGTTTTAATGTTTTATATGTGCCTCACGAATCCAATTGATTGCCTTTAGTTTTTTTTTTCAGTCTTAATATTGGTTTGTATTTGTGAGCTCGGAGGCGCTGTAGTAAGCATGGTTTTCAAAACCAGACCGGATCAGACGATCAGACCAAAAAAACAGGGAACCGGTTATCTGATCAGTTCCGTTTTTTCCTAAAACCTTTTACCCAAAATCGTTGATTTTAGTCAGCAAACCACCAGCCGGTTAATCGTTCGAACCATTCAAACAGTTTTGACCGTTTTTCAATTTTTTTATTATTTTGTCAGAACGGGCCAACCTTTCAGGTCGAACGGTTGGACCATTCAAACCGGTAACCGGACCCCTGACCGGTTTGATCACCGGGTTGGTTTTAAAAACCATGGTAGTAAATCCTGAACTCGTTCAGTTCACGAACCTTGAAATAGTAGACTAGTAATTGCTGTACTTGGTGGACTAATACAGCACCCAAATTGTAAAAATCACTAGTTTTTAGATTCGGCCCAATGATGCATTTACACTAGCAGTTTAATCCTACCAGTGAAATTCACATGGTCTCGTGTATCTTGTGCAATTCAAATGGTGGAACTGCTTATCTTGCCCATGTGCGTGTTATATTTGAGATTTGGGATAGGATCTTTGTGCTTTGTGGTTGCAAGTGGACTATTCTAAGTAGTTTGGATAGGTTCTTTGAGTCATCTACCTTCAGGTGGCCAAGAAAAAGGGGAAGGCTTCTTTGAAGATGCACAAGGGCTGCAGTACTATGGACAATTTGGGAGTGATAAGAAATGATAGGAGAGAAATTCTGGGGATGTTCTTACGACCAATCAAGGAAAGCGATTCCACAAGAGATGAGATGCAGGCAATCGTGTATGGTCTATAAAAAGCTGTGGAGTTAGAGGCATTCAAAAATTGATAATTGGAGGTGATTCTAAAGTGGTCCCAAGCTGGTTGAGAAAAGAGGAAAAAAGCCCCTGGTGGTTCAGAGATCGGCTTCTAACAGCCTTTTGCAACCTTGCATTGGAAATATCTCCTCATGAAACAAAGCACACAAGCACAGAGATATTCTCAATGCAAGGCAGTAAAGACTGCTCGAACGGGCTTTGCCCTGACTGAAGCCGAACTCGGTGGTTCAGAAATGAGATAAAGAAGTTCAGAAGACTGTCAAAAAGATATGCAAATATTAGTTCATTGGATTCCCAAGGCCCGTCAACAGCCTAGCAGATCAATTAGCAAAACAAGAGGTTAGAAGAGAACATGTTTTTTGGGCACAGCTGTAATATTAAAAGCAAACTCCCCAAGGCTTTTTACTGTTTTTTGTTTTGTACGGGTAGCCGAGGCTGCTCACTGATGTAAATTCCCTTTTCTCTCAATAAAAGCTATTTCTGTTTTACCGATAAAAAAAATTGTTATACAGAAAACAATTGAAATTAAACTAATACTTAATTGATATGCTGATCACAAAAATTTGTTAACAAGATGAGTTCAACTTGATCATACCAATTAGAATGCTTGTGGTACAGCAATCTTTCATTAACATTGAAACCACTCTCAGTAGATAACCATTCTAGACCATTGCATGTGCTAACAGCAACATCTGCAAAGGAGATAAAGTGATGACAAACTGGGAACTCAAAGCATATGCTACCTTCCAAGCATTGGTCTGCCATATGCAATTACCCAATGTTGGTCCTGGCTACCAGGGATCTTGGAAGGAGTAAATTGGATATGGGACTAATCACAAAGTGCTTGGTTATCATTTAAAAAAAGGACAGATGTATACAGCCTTACCCCTGACACATACAGAGAGGCTGTTTCTAAGATTTGAACCACCCTGGTCACCCAGGAATGGAGCAACCCAATCATAAAGTGATTGATTATATGTGCAGGTTAAATTAGAGAGAATCATCATTGTTTTTTTTTTTTTTTTGGTGAATCATCATCATTTCTGCCTTCAATACTTCAGGTTTTGACCACTCATAAAGGATTTTTCCTCATTACATCAGATTATCTTCTGGGAACAACAGAAGATTGCATACAGAATAGATTATTCTCATTGTTGAGAAATGCACCTAAAAGAGAATAACTTGATCCCCGGCCCCCACCCTCCCCCCGCGAAAAAAAAATAACAGAGATCACTGAAAGTAAAAACTCTGAACGAGTGGTAGTATCTCTTATCTTTGGATAAGCATTGGTTAGTATCTCTAAGTCTTTATGCATGATTATCTTTCTATTTTTTCTCGGGGAGGGGGGACGACTGCTCCATTGAGATAAAAGTAATATATTACATGTCATTATGATGTTCTGCTTATAAAAACATGCATTATGAACCAAACATTATACACTTTTTTGGTGGTGTGATGGGGAACTTAACTTTAGGAACGCTACCTCTTGCCTGCAATATAGATTCCAGAAATTATGGCCACCCCAGCAACTGCAACACCAAGTGATGCAAGGATCTTCGTCGCAGAAAAAGAAGGCTTTTGTGCAGGTATTTCCAGTAGATGCTTTATCTACAACAGAGAGAGCAAATAACTATAGAGCACCAATACACAAATTCATCTTAAAAAACGCAAAAGAAAATTTCTCGTGGTCCACAAGCATCATACAAATCACTTCTCCATTTAACTATCAAGGTTTTAATGAATATTTCCCCAATCTCCAAATACAAATCTCCATACTGGATGATAAGAAAACAAGAGTGGACTGTTTTTATTGACCTAAGATGAAAACTCCACTATTGTGAGATCATTATTTCATTTTGCATTTCACAAGTATTTTTTTGGTAATAAAATAACATTTATTAAAAAGAAAATAGAAAATACAAGGAAGGTGACCAAAGTCATCAGAGAGAAAACAACAAAATAAAACCATGAAAATCAAGGATCAGATATATCACACTAAAAAACTAATTCAAAGACAGAGATCTCCCAACTCCACTAGCAACAACAGCCATACACAAACCCAAACATCCCTAGAAGCCCAAACTAAAAAAAATGATAAAACCATCACCCACAAAAGGATATTCATAAAACCTCCTCACACCCTTGTAGCTGCTGAACCCAATAGAAACAAATAAGAACTCTCACAACTATTAACCAACTTCTCCAGCAGCCTGAATCAGAACTTCATTACTCCTCTTACTAAATCTATTTGACCTTTCTACCTTCCTATTAGGCCCAATCCCAAAAAAAAAACACCTTTTAACCTTGCAAATACTTTCAAAGCTTTAACAGTTTGACAATCTTTATGCTTTCTGAATCCTTTGACTGTACTAGAAAAACCATTAGAATCTCTAAGATTTTCTGTCCTGTCATTTATTCTCTCTAACTTCATCCAACACTGCATTCTCCTCAAAAGTTTTAACTGCAACCACCTCAACCCCTTTATCAGAGCATTTGTTTGCATTTCACAAGTTGACTCCATCAAACTCAGAAAAAAAGGAGCCTACTTGGATCAAAAGTACCGATCATTTAATACTGAGATAAACAAACTAAAGGAATTGCTAAGATACTGAACAAGTAGATTAATGAGTATCAAGAAAAAGAACTAAAAACTGACTTCATCAAACTCAGAAAAAAGGGATATCTTAGATTTTCCAATATAAAAACGGTTACTAACTTCCACAGGCTTCTTCCAATGCTTCTTAATTCCTTGTAAGTGTCCCTTGCCAACAACTGCTACTACCGAAGTATGTTCACTAGCAACTCTTAGTAATGTGGATGACATATACCTGGATACAAGCATTAGTTAAAATAATGGAAATATACTTTAGATAAATTCCACCATGACCAAAACAATTAATAAAAACATAAGGAATGGCAAAGATGTTTCCCTAGAAGATAAGTAACAATAAAATCATCATGCCAAACTTCTAGCAAAAACGAGAAGAGTTCTTTGTTTTGTTTCTTCATGGTTCATGGTTCAGGGGTGGCCACGAGCCGAGCTCTTCACGAGCTACTCAAGCTCGGCTCGGCTCAATTTCAACCGAGCTTCGAGCCGAGCTCCAGCCCAATTTATAGGCTCGATTAATAAACGAGCCGAGCTTGAATACATACATATATATATAATAAAAATATTATAATTCCTATCAAATAAAAAATCTTTTTTATATATAATTTTTTATTTTTATAAAACATTTTTTTCTCAAATCGAGCTCAAGCCGAGCCGAGCTCGAGCTCAAGGTTCTAGCTCAAACCCAGCTCGAGCTCGAGCTTAAGCCTTGTAGTACTTTGGTGAGCCAAGCTCGAGCCTGGTACTATTCGGCTTGGCTCGGCTTGAATCCACCCCTATGGTTCACTATACATCTTTAGGTTTTCATGTGAGGCATTTAAATAGACATTGCTTTAGCTATGCCATGCTCATTAAAACTCTAGTTGTACACATAAATGCTTGCATACATATATGAAATATGTATTTTTGTCTATACACATATACTTAATCATAGTTGGAAATGCACAGTTAGCATGTTCAACATCTTTTAACTCACCATATGATGGCCAGAGAAACAAGAAATAGCTTTCATGATCTCTTCAGAAGGTTCTGCCAATACCCCCCTTAAGAAAATGATCTTCTAGATAATTGGCGAAATCGTTTGTTTATGTTAGAAGTTTTTAAGTTTGGAAGGAACATCCCTATTTCATATACCCATATGAAAAGGCAGCATTTGGAAGGAAATTAACTAATAGGTTCCTTAGAAATAGGAAAATAGAACTGACGGAACTGTAGAGGATTGATTATGGTTCGATGCGCTAAGACCGACAGCCCTGAAGGCAATCTAGTAAACAATAACAATAATAAAGGTGTTATCATGTCAATCGTGAAACAAAAGCAAATTTAGAAGCTGATGTCAGACTAAATTTTGGTGTTTATGAACATAAATGAGGAGCAGAAGGTAGCTTGGACTTTCAGGTCCCATAGCCAACATTATTAGATTTGCTTTCTGCCACCATCTTCTGAAATAACTCAACCAAAGACCCTTCATATGGTTCAAAAACCCAATCATCATTGATTTTAGACCTGTAAGATTGTTCAGAAGATACCCTAGGCCTATAGAATCGATCACTTTGTGAGAACATACTGAATAAACCATTAGCTCTGATGCCAAACTGATGTAAGACCAGCTCAGTTCTAGTCCTTGAAGAATGTTGAATGGTCTTCTTTGATCAGAACTTTATGGCTGTTGATGGCTGTAATGGCTTCTTGAAAGAATAAGAGAGAAAACAAGGATAGAAAGAAGAGAGAAAATACCTGAAATCACTCACAGGGTGCCTAGAATCACTCTAGGGGATGGGAATCACTCACCATAGTTAGCATAAGCTGAAAAAAATTCATAAACTTAATTGCCCTTTGTGTAAACCGTCCATACATATTTAGAGACTCTAAACTCATAATAATCCTAGGAGTCAAACTGTTAGACTCATATAGTCTTAGGAGTCAAACTGTTAGACTCAATAATCCTAGGACTCAAACTAAGTTGTCATGTCCTATTTCAATTCAAAGAAGACTCAATAACTCTAATCCTACTTATACAATGGCTCTGAAATTTTAAACATAAACAAACTATAAATAGGCAACCAAACCCTATTATTGGACCCTACAGGAAAATTAAAAAAATACCCTTGGTGTTCAATTCAGTCGAAATCCCAAGTACCATCACAATGCCATATCATGACCTGGTTGTAAGGCCTTCTTCTTTCTAGAATAAGTCTGGCATAGCGACAGTACTTGGGATTTGGACTGAATTGAACACCAAAGGTTTTTTTTTTTTAATTTTCTGTAGGGTCCAACAATAGCGTTTGATTGTCTATTTATAGTTTGTTTATGTTTAAAATTTCAGAGTTATTGCATAAGTAGGATTAGAGTTATTAAGTCTTCTTTGAATTGAAATAGGATATGACAGCTTAGTTTGAGTCCTACTAGGATCATTGAGTCTAACAGTTTGACTCCTAAGACCATTATGAGTCTAACAGTTTGACTCCTAGGATTATTATGAGCTTAGAGTCTATAAATATGTATGGACGTTTTACATAAAGAGCAATGAAGTTTATGAATTTTTTTCAGCTTATGCTAACTATGGTGAGTGATTCCCATGCCCTTGAGTGATTCTAGGCACCCTGTGAGTGATTCTAAGTATTTTTTTCACTTCTTTCTATCCTTGTTTTCTATATTATTCCTTCAAGAATCCATTACAGCCATCAACAGCCATAAAATTCTGATCAAGAAGACCATTCAACATTCTCTAAGGACTAGAACTGAGCTGGTCCTACATCAGGAGGACTTGACCATCTAGAAGGTTCTTCATTTGTCAAAGGCTACTTTTATTAATGATTAGATGAAGCTCCAAGCAGCTGATGTCAGAACATTTGAGAAGTAAGAAGTCTTTAAACAGAAACATTAAGCAGATAGACAGGGTTCAGGCTGGCTCACAACTCACAAGTAATAAAAAATACTAAGAAATTGCTACATAACCATTAAATGTTGTTTGCTAGAACCATGCTGTCTTTAGAAAGAAGTAACTCTGGTCTGTAACATTGGTGCAATGAAATTAAAAGTTGTTGGATTGGGTGTTAATCCTTCCAGAATTCAGAGATGTGTCAAGAGCTTTGTTTGAAGTAGACTTTTGGGCATCTTTAGAGATGGGTGGGGGTCATTATCCACGTAATGCTATGTAAGGTGAGTGTTGGTCAATTGTTTTTTCTTTGGTTTTTTGGGTTATCTCTCATCACCGTTTGATGTACCTTTAACATGATTGGAATACACCATTTGATGTAATTTTCTTTTTTTACTTACTACCAAAAAAAATTAAAAATCAAAGGCCCCTTGAACATGATTGGATTAAATACATCTAAAACCCCAATTCCTTGACTCAGTCAAGATCTCATAGTTGGATCATTCAGTAAAATACAACCGGAAATATGTAAATATCTCTATAAACTCTCTTTTCCATTTCTTGTTGTTTTACATCTCTTTATTATCATGTCACATCACAGGACATGTTTCTCGCGGTCCCACTTGTAGCATTTCTCCACAAAACATGGTGACCTTTTTTTTGGTAGCTAACATAAAAGAGGAGCCCAGTACACAAGGTTCCCACCAATGGAGGGTCTGGGGAGGGACAGAAAACAGATTTACGCAGCCTTACCTCTGCACGTACAGAAAGGCTGTTTCCAAGATTTGAACACTGATCACCCAGATCGCAATGGAGCAAAGCAACCCAACCATTGCACCAAGGCCCACCCTCCTTTTGATAGCTAACATGTTGAAGGGTAATTGCTAAGCAGTTTTTCTATATTATTTATATAAAAATTGTTAGGAATGTTAACTTGTCAGTACATGCATATGAAACAAGTAATTTTAATAGATAGAAAATTGATGAAGCAATAAGATCAACCATCCACAAATTGGAGAAAAGGAACTAAATGGACCATGAAAAGAATCACTAGTTCAGTTTTTTGTTTCTAAGTTTGTCTGGTTGAAGTAACAACACAAGAAACCTACAAAGTAATCTTATAGATAGAATAATCCATTTGAATCTAGTTCTATCACATTTTATGGAATTTGATCATGTCACCAATCCATGGTTTTGAAAACCGGACCGGACCGCATGGTCATACCGGTTGACCCAGGAACCGGTCAGGTATTCAATTCCGTTTCACCCTAAAACTGCTTTTTGGCCAAAAACCATTAATTTGGTCAGCGAACCTTCAACCCAGACAACGGTTTTTGGTCATTTTTTTTTTATTTATTATTTTTTTATTTTTCTATTTTTTAAGTTAGAACATGTCGTCCATTTGAACCGGATAGTCGGACCGTTCAACCCGGGAACCGATCCCCATAACTTTTCCGTGTCCGGTCCGGTTTTTAAAACCTTGCACCAATCACCATATCTTACATGAGGATCAGAGAAGCATAGATCTTTTATCCATACAAAATTCAATATCAGCTATTATAAATACTATTCTTTCTATATCACAGACATACATGGATCAAATTGTTTTAGAAACATAATCAACTCAACTTAACTCAACTCAGTGTTACTGCCAACTATTTGGGGTCACCAATCGTTTCAGAAACATACTTGTAGATAAATAATCTGTAAGAAGTCGTACTTTTTTGAGTCTGTAGATATCTCTGCATGTGAGGCTTACCTTATTACTCTCTAAGACCAACTAGAGTGGACTGAGTGGATATTTTCCAGCCTATGCAATAGGGATGCTTGGGATATTGTACATATTCTCATTGTTTTTATAATTGAATAAAGTTTAATAGCTAACCATAAATAAAAAGACCAACTAGAGTGGACATGCATAGGGATTGAAAGTGATTGACAGTAGCTTCCTTTCTCTCTTGAGATTCATCACAATACCAAATAACAAGGGCAAAAAGAAAAGAGAAAGAAAGAGTAAAATAAACACATAAATGTATATTATACGATGTGGAATATTTTCTTCACTAAATATATGCTTCCTGTAAAAATCCTTAAGAAGTTCAGTATGGTAAGGGATCAAAAGAATACTGACAGATCTCGTTCATAAAGGAGAGTCTCCATCAAAGTGGGAAATGCCTTGCTCATCTCTTGAATCACAAGAGTTAACATGTCCACATCATCCATTTCCTTCAGCTGAAGATACATCACGTTATAGTGCATCCAACATACAGAGTTTGCAATTATCCAAAATATGCAGAAAATAAAAGTTAGAAACATGAATATAGATTTCTTTCCCAATTAATGACATCAGACAAATAACAATAATACTAAATGAAGTAAGAAGACAAGCAAGCCTACCATTTTATTAAGATCCTCAGGGCTTGGTAGAAATATTGCTTGGAAAAGTATGCAGTATAGAAACTTTGCTTTATGCCAAAGTGTCATCTTTCCCCATGTCCTCCGTAAGGTAACCTATTTCAGTTGACAGAACACTCATACTTAAGATGGTCCTCATGTAATAACAAGCATTTCACCTTAAGTCTGTAAATTGGAGAAGACTTTGCTTTGCATTTAGCTATTGGAGATTTGGAAATACCAGTTGCAGGATAATGTCTTAGAAGAAAGAGAAAAAATTCCATGGCATTCAGAATATTCAAAATTAAAAAAAAAAAAAAAACCATTAACTTTAGAACTGTTTTCACAAGAAAAATGTAATAGTCTCAATGGCTCTCCATATACATAAGCAATTGGGATCAAGTAGATAATCTCTAATCTCCAAGAGTTTTAAAAAAATAATTGCACCATTAGAAATGCTTTAAGCCTATAAGAGGACTCTTAATGTAAATAAAAAGGGTGTTAAATACTGATCAAAAAACAATAAAAAGGGTGTTAAAACACTAAATACTTAAACAAATCACAAATATAAACTCAAAATCTAGGATTGGCCCTTAACTTGGCCTTTGATGAGAACTCTAATTAATGTATGAAACATATGTTCTTGACACAAGGCATCTGAAGGTGTTAGTCTCAAGAGGTTTTCCATGAGACTTGCCTCAACACAAGACTCAAGGAATAAGCCTCACATGCCTTTTGAAACGTTTGGTGCAAATTTGGAATTTGAAGAGCATAACTGGTGTAAATTTATACATTTTAAATAACTTAACTTAGTGCTGTCATGCCTTATTTCTACTATTTTGTTCATCTATAGGACTCCCGCTCTGCCACTTCACTCGGTCTAGTATCATATCAAGTAGATAATAACTTCAAAGGTGCAACATGTATCTTACATTTGGATTCTACAATAGAATTACTGATCTCTGTTGCTTATAGAAATACATGTATCTTACATTGACTGGACGATCACCCAGTATCACCTTTCCACCATACTTCATTGCTTCTTCAAATGCCACCCGAAACTCAGCACCAGGAAAAACCTCAAGCTCATTAGCAACCTAAATAGATCATGTATGAGGAAATATCAGGCACAGAAACAACATAAAACCCTATAAATAGAGAAATGTTGTTAAATTGAAAGGAAAAATGTGAAAGTAATGCTTAAGATGAAACTAACAATGGAATGTCTAGAACTGTAGTAACTGATGAAAACATACCTTGGCAAGAAACCAGCTGTAAAGAATTCCAAAAATATTCATATTCTTTTTCTTCCACATATCCAACATTTCCCTCATGGTTGGTACCTGTTGAATTATAAGATGAGTACGGTAGACACTAGCATGTGAACACTAGATTAAAAGTTAAAAGCCTTTAATAGAATGTAAGCAAACATATTATGAAATATGGACAATCAAGCAAAGAATATTGAGTAAGAGCAATGATAGCTAACCCAGGATTAAATGATGAATCACAACGCAAGTGTTGAACTTTTTATACAGGAAAAAGGAGAGAAAGCAATATGTAAAGTCCAAATCTATGTCACAATAACTAGGTTATGTATTAATAGATAATTCATAAAAATGTGTGGATTGTAGAAGCACCAGTACAAGGTGATTTAGTTAATACCTAGCAAAAAGAGTGGAGTGATTGACAAACTCATTTAGATAAGGGATGTGGAGTTTTTTTGGTAATAAAATAGAATTTATTAAAATAAAAAATAAAGTACAAGAAAGATGACCAGAAATCATCCAATAGAAGAAAAAGAATCCCTACACCAAAAGATTTTGAGACCTGAACAATATGATGATTTGTCTTCTGAAACGCCTCACAGCAGTGGGACCCTCCAAAAAAGCCCGCAAGTCCAAAGGATCCTCATTGATTCTTTCTAACTCTAAATTTGTTCTGCAACCTCCTTACCCTCCTCAATCTCATTGTCCCCTGCTAAACCAAGAACTTTCACACTATCTTGAGCACCCTTAACCCCAAGGTTAGGAATTTCCACTTCATTAACCATGCCAGTTTTTCCCATAGTATACTTTTCTTCCAATTTTTGAAGCTTTCCCTTGCAAATCCCCCCCCCCCCAAATAAAACGCAAGATTAAAATCTTGCTCAACTCCACTTCAGCATTTACCACTTTCTCCAAATCTATTGATCTTCCAATATCATGAGTTTTATCTATGAGCACCTCCTCCACATCCGATTCAGTGTATTCATCTCCATATCTCCAATATTATCATCTTGTTTTAACAGCCTCATTCTGTAATTCCTTTTTCTTCTGTAGACATTTGGACAATGAACCTCACACTCTTCTCCCCCCATGTGTCCTTCCCCCTTTTCTTCTTTATTTCCTGATTCTTGAACACAATCCCCTTCTTCTTGAGCTTCATCTGTCCCCAGCTCTTGAGCAGGAATTTTGTCACTTGCCTTGTCTCCTGTTTCCAGGTCAACCCTCTTGGTGTTTAAGCTTCAACCTTCACCTCTTCCAACACTTCAATGTTATGGTCATCGTCATCCTTTCAATTCTTAAAAAATGTCTCACTACCTTCATCATTATCAACTTGCTCAGACACCACACTCCTTTGATTAGCTGAATCACCACCCAAACTAACCTTTCTACCCTCTTACGAGTCTCAACAGCTTCTTCACTCCCCCCCTCCCCTCCAATCCCTCGCCACAGTTTTTATAGGGGGTGTGGAATTAGGAAGGCACTTATCACAGATGAACTCGGAGATTATTCCAAATTCTTGCACTGACATAGCATGCATGTATACATCAAAATAAATATGGCCTAAAAGCAGAAAAAGGATATGATGTCTCTCTTAGACAAAACAAATATGCATCACATCAGAATAAGATGTGATGTCTCTCCCAATTTCTGCTAACCATAATTGAGTTGTATCAAATGCTCTCTGGTTCCCAAAAAGACTCAACCACTCAAACCCACATCCAGTACTCCATGATCATCCAAAGCCCCAAGAAATGCAAATCTGATGGCAGTAGGGGTGAGAATAACAAGTATTTATGGTTTTTACTGGTACTGGCAAATATATATGCACATGGCAATTTTAGATGATTATAATAATAATAATAACAATAACAATAATATGTGCCAAAATTTTTCTACAAAGTTTTCATGTCTATGTATAAAAATATTTCTTATTCACCACACTTATTTTTGTTTAATATTTAATATAAAGAATATATTATATCAGAGATGTGACCAAATGTTTTTTTACAAAATTTATGTATTTTCTATAATTTTTGTGTGCTTTTATTTTTTCAATTTTTATTCTATAATTATAATATCATGGGTTTACCCATTTGACCTGGATGGTTGAATTGCTTACCTGCCGCTTGGATAGAACGGCTTCATTTTTGGGTCAGTTTTAAAGAAACATGGGTTTTATATTTGTAGACGTGTGAAATTTTAAGCCAAATGCATATCTCTGTTATCCGAGGAATTGCAGGATTTTTTATCTGGACGTTGCATGAAAATGGAGACAAGAAGGAAGTCCGTACTAGTAATGAGGTGGAGACATGAGATTCAGGTTGAAGCAAAGAGATTATGTTCAAAGAGTGCAGAAACCAGGGCCAGGCTTCCTTGAAGGGAGGAGAAGAAAGCCACCATCTTTCTAGTCAGCAAAGTTACACAATGGCTGAAGGGATTTGTTGATGGAGCAGTGTTCTCTATTAAAATGATTGGCTGGAAGAGCTCTCTGGTACTTTCAGGGAAGAAATATGAAACCGAGCAAAGATGGAACAGGAAGGGGTGGTTCATGATAGTTACAGAGTTCTTAGTAGTGGCAAGAAACAAGTGGTGTGCATGCTGGAGGGTAAGGAGAGCAGTGGTTGGAAGATGGTTACAGATAAGATGCAAGAGTATCTGACTCTTCAAGAAAAAGGTTTTTTGCAGAAACAATGTTTGAGCCAGAAGACAAAGAAGCTACTCTAAAGGAGCAGTGGAGAACTCAGCTTCTATTTAAACCATTCAAACAGCTGCCATTGACACCAGAAACTAGCACCTGAGCAAAAGTTCTTTTAGCTGTCGGACCTTTTCCTTGTACCTCACGTTTTTTACCATCCAATCTGCCCAAATCTTTTGGATAGCTGAAAGGCTGGTTGCCTATTTTTGTGAAACTTTTCATTTTCCCTTGGTTCTCCAACCTCAAGCTGCCACGTAAAACCTGTGCTTCCACCTTCAATGAAGGAGGCCAGCCACTCCGGTGAAGACAAATCACTGAACCTCAGAGTAACTTTCCTAGGTATTTCCTCTGGTTTAACTCCATTCAAGAGCAGAGACAAGCTCCACATAACAAGGCAATGGAAACTGCCACCTCATGGTTCCAAAGGTGGAAAGGAAAACCAATCACCCGGACTACAACACCATCTTCAAGACTTCAACTGCAAAGGATTTTGAATTGGATGAGGGTGACCATTTAATGATTTAAACAAGTAAAGGTTTTCAGGTCATCTTGAATGCTCGAGCTTCAAAATCTATCAAAAGGAGTTTGAATGAAAATATTCCTCAGTCTCAACATATGCATCAGAAGATCAGCAACCTTTAACCCAGCTTCTTAGCTTCAACCACTGTCATACTATCCCATTGCTCTTTACTGAAATTACAATAAACAGAGATATCCATCATGTGAAAACAAACAAGCATCTGCTCTTGCAAGCCTAGCTACGTAGTCTTGGCATTTTCAGGTCATTAAGCAACAATAATGCATGTTTGTGCAAATGGATTCTACCTTCTAGGTCACCTCAAGAAGAGGAGGAACAAGAAAGCAACTTAGTTTCTGAGTTTACTATTGAAGTTGAGGATTGGAGGTAGCCCATCATTGGCTACTTATAGCATGCGAGGTTGCCTAATGATCCCAAGCATAGAGCCAAGATATGATGCCAAGCACCTCGAATCCAATATTACAACAATAACCTCTATAGATGCTACTTTAATGATGTTTACATGAGTTGTATCCATGGTGATGAGATTCAAAGTGCACTTGACAAAGCACACTCTTAGAGTCTATGGTGCTCCCAAATCAAGACCTAAGCTTCATGATTGACTCAAGTGAATGGGCTTCTACTGGCCAATAATGGTACAGGAATCAAAGCGATATGCCAGAAGGTGTCAAGTATGTCAATCCTATGGGGACTTTATTCATCAACCACATGAACCACTCATCATTATCATCCATGCCTTATCCCAACTATATGGGGTCAGTTACATGAATCCTGTTTCGCCAATCCATTCTATTCAATGTCATATCCACTATTAAATGATTAGTGCTTAAACCATTTCTTACCACTTCTACCCATGTCCTTTTCGGTCTACCCCTAGCTCTTTAGGCCCTTCAACTTGTAACAAATTACTTCTAACTGGAGATGTTGGTGGTCTTCTATGCACATTACCAAACCACCTTAGGCTACTCCCTCTCATTTTATAACCTATTAGAACTACTCCTAGGTTCCTATGGATGACTTCATTCCTAATCCTATCCTTTCCAGTTTTTCCACTCATCCACTACATCCTACAATTGCAACATGGCCATTTAACGCTTGGGGACTTGATGTGGTTGGACCTATACCTAAGTCTTTATACCAACATCTCTTCATTCTAGCAGCAATTGACTATTTCTCTAAATGGGTATAGGCAGTCCCTCTTCAAGAATTGAAGGAAGATGTTGTCAACTCCTAACTCACATTGCTAATTGATACATTGTTAGCAATGTGAGTCATTCTCAGCAACTTTGGTGACACAAGTTTGGTATTAAATAGAAGTTTTCTACCGTATATAATGCAACAGCCAACAAACTTGCAAAAGCCTTTAATAAACCCTTCTGCAAGTTACTTGAGAAGATAGTGTCCAAGTCAAATAGGGATTGGCATAAGTGTTTGGACGAAGCCTTATGGTGTAGAAGTTGTGCTCCCTCCAAAGAGACAGATGACCTCCCTAAGAATGGCTATCTAAGAGGGGATTACGAGAGACAAGAACATGAAATTATGATTGGCTAAGCTCAAGGACCTGGACAAGAAGCAATTAGAAGCTCAACAAAGAATAGAGTGCTACCAAGCTCATTTGGCTTGTGCATTCAACAAGAAGGTTCAACTCCACTCCCTTCTAAAAAGAGAACTATTCCTTATTGTTCGATGCCCCATTGTCCTTTCACACCATTCAAGGAAGAAGTTTTGACCCTAAATGGGATGGACCTCATGTAGTGGAAGAAGTTTACAATAATGATGCCTACAAACTCATTACACTAGAGGATCTCCATCTTAGACCCATTAAGGAGTACCTTCAAAGGT